CTCTGATGGCCAATCCAGAAAAAGAGTTCCAAAATTGCTTTGAAGGGTGGACTAGGTGCAGGCGTCAGTGCATAGCTTCCCAAGGGGAATACTTCGAAGGTGACTGTAGTGATACACAGCAATGAACACCTTTTCTAGGATGAGTTCGTGAACTTAATTGTCCTACCTCGTATAGCTCCTCATAATCAGGTCGATAATCTAGTATAAACACAAAAGACAAGTTATCTTTATTCCTACCTTGCTTATGATATCCACAATGCTTATGATGACTTGGAAAGAGAAAGAATAAGAGACACAGCAGTCAGCTATTTAGTGATTCTGGAATACCACTGAACAGATATCGTGAAAGTCTCACACCAGAAGTGGGGCTAGAGTATGCAGGAAGATGTTGCTGGATTCGGCGTTGGTTTTACTCTCTGGGAAGAATTCCTTTGTTATTTCTTCTCTGTGGCCCCTGGCTGTGACCTCACGGAGCCTCTTTCTTATCATTATTCTCCTTAGCCGCATCTGGAAAGAATCTGGAAAGCATACCCTCCTTGGAGGAGGCATTCCAAGGCTGCTTTCTGTATGTGGGAATACAAAATTTGGTATTAGTATTTGAATTTAAAAATAAAGACTTTTTCAAGTGCACTTGTGGTTTCCCGAACAATACAATTCCCTCAAAAATGTTGTAGATTTCTGATTTATTTGCTTTAGCCTGTTTCATGTAGCCAGTAATGATACCCAAAGTTATTTCCTAAACATAATATTTTAATTTGCTTTACATGGCTACTTCTTCACCTTCATGTCTCTTTCCCACTCAACTTAATGGTGGCTATCACTGGGTTCTTTGAACAGTTGGGGTCAAGCTATACCTCCTACTCTGATCTTTGCCCTGATTCACTTTTTTTCAACTGAAAATTTAACTGAGTTGTGATTCAAAGCCTTTTCAGTTCAACCTCTAAAAGCAGCTGGGCTTTCCAACCTTGAAAGACCTTAAATTTCTGAACTCTCACTTCTGCTTGCAAGCTGACTAGTTCTTCCCTGAGCTCATTTCTTCTTTGCAATACTTTGTGAAATGCAGCTAATAATAGACAATACACACAGAGCTGTGAAGCATTCCAACATCTAACTAAAAATGATTAGTAGGCATACAGTCTTCCCTCTAAGTTAGAGGAGGCGATGACGGCTTTTAGCAAAGATTTTACTGTATTCCTCGCCGTAAGGAGCAGTGTCTCCAACACATGCCGTTTCCCCTTACGCTTTATACTTTCAGATTTTGTTGGAGCAGCACCCTACATCAAAATAACAATTTCTATATTAGGGTAAGTAACATAAGCTCCTTCAAACTCATGGCCAAATCCTGTGGCTTAATAAAACATACTTAATTTTTATCATTAATGCTTAATAAAATAATAAAATTCTCTTTCCACTTGAAAAATATTTCTTTCCTCATTCATCTCATGAGGTCAGAAAAAATAAAAACAGAGCTTAGGATATGGTAAGTGCTCAAAAACCTAGCTGTCACCATTATTAGTGTTGCTCCTAATATTAGTAGTCACAGAGTTACAAAACCAAAAAGACAGAAGCCATTTGGTGGGCAACACACAAAGCAATTGGCAATGTTCTGAAGACAGTGTTAGATCAGAGATCCACTTTATTAGTTTGCTGGGGCTGCTGTAACAAATTACCACAAACTGCATGGCCTAATAATATAAATTTATTGTCTCATAGATTTAAAGGTTAGACATCCAAGATCAAGGTGTCAGCAGGGTTGATTTCTCCTAAGGGCTTGAAGGAAGAAGCTGTTCAATGCTTCTCTGCTAGCTTCTGGTATTTGGCTGGAAATCTCTGGCATCCTTTGACTTGTAAAACATCACCTCAATCTCTGCCTTCATTTCCACATGGTGTTCTCTTTGTGTGCGTGTCTATTTCCAAGTTTCCCCTTTTTAAAAAGACACCTGTCATATTGGACTAGTGCCAATCCTAATGACCTCATTTTAACTTGATTACCTCTGTAAAGATCCTATCTTTATATAAGGTCTCATTCTGAAGTACTGATGGTTAGGATTTCAACACATGAACTTGAGGGATACACAATTTAACCTATAACCCATTAATAAGTAATATTTCCACTGAAGTGTTTCTTAAATCACACATTTTCACAGTGGCTACTGGTTCTCATCAGGTTTTTCATGAACAAGATCTGGATATTTATGTTAGAAATCAAATGCGCATTCTTTACTCTTTATTGGGCAGAATTATGCAAACTGTTGTACTACAGTGATCTCAAGAAATCTTTTTGTTGCTTCCTGTTTCCCTGAGTTCAAGACACCCTCTGTCTTCTGCATATTGTAATAAACAATAGCTATGTCAGACAAGAAAAAACCAGGTAAGCAGAATATACCTTTCAAAACGGTTGTCTTAAAGAAGCTCTCTTTCCATGTTACAGCTATGTAAAAACTATGATGTCATCTAAAGTTTCCTATTGAAAAATTGTTTCACACTGTGAAGAAAGAAATCTTAGTAGACTTAAATAAATATGAAAAGAATGAGACTGAGCAAAAATCATTAAGGCACTCATTTAATTAAAATCAATATCTTCATAATTTTCTGTGTTTCACTGATATTTCATATTGCTATTTACCTGAGTAAGTGAACCTTCCATATAATTTACAATGTGTCAAACCGTAAACCTGTAGCTATACTAAAGCAAAATTAATGCATGTTTTAGGTCACAGATACTGCCAAATAAACCATTACTGCAATCAGATTGTTTTATTGAAATTATAGAAATACTCACAGAAGTAATCATCTTCAGTAAAAGGTTGAAAGATATGAGTTTGTTTGTTTTTGCTCTAAACTATATACTTGGTTTTGTTTATTCTGACTGAAGTGTCATCATGAAGGAAAGCAAGGTTGGCCTGAGGCCAAATGTCTGAGTGGTCGAAATTTAACACAGGTTCCCTTTCCCTCAGCTTATTGTTCGCATCTTATGATCATCTCCCTTCCCAGGAACACAGTTCTTAAATATTGCCATCTTTTTCTGGCTGTAAGTCTTTCTATCTCCAGATTTCAGCAGAGAGAGTGGCACATTACAAATACTGAGAAAGTATGTTTGATTGAATGCATGAATGAATCAATCAATCAATGAGTGAAGTATAGGCCCATATCCTACTTTATAGCCCAACTCGCACTGTCTTCTTAATGTTAAAAATCCAAAATTAGTTTCCCTTTTCTTAAGTTTTAACTCCTTTTAGTGTTTCCAGTTCATCTAGTTATAAAAATATGAAATTATAATTGTAATAATTAACAGAGTATAAGTGATTGGCCCTCACAAAATTATTTTCTTCTAATTTAAATGAATCTCTATTTTGTAGCCTTTCAGCCCCTGTGGTAAGAAAAAATTAGACTGTGACCAGTTCTATTTTTTGGCTAGTTTTCCAAGTAGCATAGCTAGTCTTGAGAATAATGGCTAGGTACATAGCAGGCACTTGATATAAATGTATTTACTAACTGATGAGAGATGAGAATTCAAACATTGGGATGGTATCTTAAATATGAAAGTCTAAATTTTGTTATATTTCATTGGAATAGAGATTTTTACCTCATCATTAAAAAAAATGGGAAATTACTCAATATTTCCTGATAGTCTCATCTAAGTAGTTCATGTTGATAAGGCTAAGTTTTGATCAAAGAAGATGATTAGTGAAAAGTATTTCTCCATTTCAGACATCAGTGGTGGACAATTTCCTGTCAGCCTGGGAAAGTAGGGTAGCAGGATGTTGTGTGGCAATGTGACACAGCAGATTTTTTGTTTGTTTGTTTAACAAGAAAAGGGGGCTTAAAAGTTAAGTCAAAAACTGGTTTTAGAATATAGTTGAAACACAAACTATTATCGGTCATATCTATTTTTATCTTTGAAAATTCAAGTTTCATGTTACCAAAGGAATATTTATATGGAATTTTGTAGTAATATGTACAAAACCTCCTAGTCTGAAGTCATGAACTAAATTTCCTACTGACCCTAAATATTTGAAAATATCCTTCTGCCAAATGTTCTAATAAGCATCTACCTTATGAAAACCCTAAGGCAATACTCTGTACTAAATTACCCTAGAGCTTCCCACAACTGCCAAAAACATGACACATGTTCTCTTTATCCAGACATCTGGGTTGGGATTTCTCAATGAAACTTGTTCCAAAGACATGATTGTTGGAGTTTTTCTTGTAGAGTTCTTCATATTAGAGATGAAAAGATAATAAAGAAAATATATTTAAAAGTTGTCAGATTGTCAACATCAGGAACATTTTCAAGATCTGCTTTGGTGTGTAAGTACTACAGAAATCAAATAGTTAGAAAAAGTTCCTACTGTGTAGAAATTCACAGTCTAAGATATAGTGCTTAAAACTAGCATTACAGAGGCATTGAATTTAGAAGCTGAAAAAAAATTAATGATTACCAGTGTCAACATTGAGGCTAAATAATCAATAAAATTTTCAAACCTGATGAGTCTAAACTAGAATCTTGGTTTCCTGATCATCAGTCCAGTCCACTGTCCATTTGTTTAGTAAGAGTCCAGATTTCTTAACTGTTCATTGTTGAGGATGTGTGAATGGCATCAGGAGAACCCCACCAGTGCACGGACAGAATTCCAGCTTCTCCTGTTACTGTATGAGCTTAAGAAGTACACTTTTCCATTCTGAACCTCAGTTTCATTGCTGACAAAACTTCTGCCTTTGCAGATGTAAGTGTGTAGGGCCAAAGAATTGACCGATCCAACCACAGCTGGCCTTTACTGCCATGGCGATCCACTCACCTCTGTACGAAATGGGAATGGCATAGGCCAATCTCTGGTTGGTTCCCTTCAGGTACAGTTTTACAGGAAGTCAAGAAGATTATAGAAACTGAGTAGGGATGGGGATGAGAAATACGTATTTTGCTGTCTTACATGATTGCCAACAGTTGGTTTTCTTCCAAGACATAGCAACCCCCACAGAGAGGATTTTTGTTTGTTTTGCCAATTGGGTGTAATATTAGAGTTACTGCATCATTAACTTCTGTATCAGCCAAAAACTAAAAAAGGGAAAAACTATAGAAGAAAACAAGTGAAAGTGTTTTTGCTAATTTTTAAAGGCCTTAATTGTATATTGCTTTGTTGCTGCTGATGGTGTTTTGGTGAGAACATGCACTGCAGTTCAGTAAGTATGAGAGTTATTTCATGTCTATATATGTCTTTAAATCAGAATTTTCAGAATTGCAGCCTGTGTAGTCAGATTGGGTCTACATGTCTATATTCTTTGAGTGGTACAATATTTACTTTAATTGTATTAAAACGTGTTTAATAGGGACATATACTTTCCATGTCTCCACAGTTTTCACCAATCCCTATAACTTGCATCTGGATATTTCACTTTTTTTACATTGCCCATGTCACCTGAAAGCATTAAAGTTCATAGTCTCTCGGATAAGTATTACTGTTATTTCCCTTTCCTCCAGAGAAGAAAATATATGGATAGAAAAGGAGTAAGCCTTAAAGGTAAGGAGGATGGGAAGAAGTCACTGAAATTATTTGTAGATAAC